AAGGGGTCTGTAGTTAAGTCTTACGCCTGTGTTAGTCGCACATGTTAATTTGGTAATTGTACTGTGGTCATGTATGATGGAGACCACTATGAAGCAGACCTGAGCAGGACTTAAATTAATCAGCTGGCTTTTCCTGTTCACTTGTGAGTCTGTCCAAGGCCTGGGCTCCTTATCTGGAAATGGTAAGTGACTCATAGTAAGTGAACCTCTGTGAGTCACTAATCCCTACTAGAACCTGTAGTGGTGGATGAAGCCAGAAATCCTCAAAGGACAAGACAAGATCACAGCCAAGGACACCTGGATCAGATCTCAAATAGATAAAGACTATAGCCTCAGGCATCTCATTCTTGAGTGGATTAACTTAATACCTTACTTGGAGAAGTCCTTGAGTGGTTCCGCCCTTCCTGAGTACTCTCCTCCCTTCTTCTGATAACCAAATAAATACTGTCACCCAGAGAAGGTCTTGGTCTTCGCCCTGAGAGAATCTCGAATGCTGTGAGAGGGCTTTGATCCTCCTGGAGCCCTGAAATCATTCCATTTGCCTCTTTTTATTTAGTCTTTGCCATACACTCATTCAGGAGATTGCAGATCTGATCAGCCCACAGTAACTAAGTGAAATTATTAACCCGATAATCTAAGGGGGAGGTAATGTTGGGGGAGGCTGGGGGAAAGGGATATGCGAATGCTCTGTACTCTGAAACTTTTCTCTAAGTCTGCAGTTGTTTCAAAATAAGCAGTTACACCACGTGCTTATTGAGCACCTGCTTCCTGGTAGGTGCCAGAGAGACAAGCTGAGCCATACAAAGGTAACCCTGATAGGGACGAACGCTGCTTTCGAGCACCATAGCAGGGTTTCTCAAATGTTAATGTGCATCCAACTTGCCGAGGGCCTTGTTAACGGCAGAGTGGTCTGATGTGTGTGGTGGTGTGAGATGCTGCTGGTCTGACCGGCTGAAAGCTGGTGTCCCTCTTCCAGTCCCGGAGGCCACACTCTGCATGGCAGGAAGCAGAGCAAATCATGCACATACGTGGCCACAAGAAAAGTCAGCCAGCAAACTGTTCAGGGTTGCTGAGAGCACAGTAGCAGGAGCCAGGGATTCTTGCCTGGGTTCCTCAGCAGAGCTGGATCCTCCAGGCTTTGTGAGCGTTCTGGTTGCAGCCTGGTTTCCAGGAGCTTTGCTCATTCCACTCCAGGCTGCCTCTCTCTGGGCCAGGCCAGGCTTAGCCAAGTAGAGAGGGACAGGTGCAGAATTATCAAAGTACTCAGAAATTCTGCGGTGCCTATGAAAGCCAGGCCTGGGCCCAGGGAGCACACATGTTCCCCATCAGATCTCAGCTGGTCAGCAGGGCCCAGCTTTCCCTGAACTGTCCCTCTGATCAGCTCCCAGGCAAGAGGTGCTTTGTGACACATTGTTCCCCAGGGAAGCCTCACTGCTCTCTGGAATCTAAGAATGTACACAGACACTGAGCCGGTCCACCTCGGCCAGACTTGACCCCCCAACATGTTTATGGCTTAATGCTATTGAAGTTTCTGCCATGATTGCATGTCCTTGGGCCTCTTTGGGTTCATGGTTGCTGGGGTACCACAGAGCTTCCTTGCTCCAACTCCATGGTCAATGTATAGCTGACAGGGGTCAACTCCCAGGGCCTCTCAGGGGACCTAGTGCTGTCCTTTGCTTCACACTGATGCTGCAGACCCCATGCATATGTCCTGTTAAAGCTCTGAGTGCTTCCCTGGGTGGCAAGGTTAGCCAATAACCCTGCTTCAGGAGGCAAAGCAAGCCCTCATGTTCCAGGGACGAAAAATCTTCTGATGTCCCATCTTTGAATCCCAAGAAATTTCAGAGGCCCTCTCGTGGCCTAATACACAGCTCTCTTTTTCCTTCACTCCTCTTGTTCCTCATTCAGAGAGCAATAGGCCCGTTCCCTCCAGAAAGCTTGTCCCAACTGCCCCCGCACACATGCCATCTTCCTTCCTTGGCCTTCTGCATCTTACCGTGCAAAGGGTGGAGGTGCAGGTCTTGGACTTAGCTGTCTGGACTCAAATCCCATCTTGTCCCTTGGGAGTTGTGTGTCCTTGTGTAAATTATTTAATATTTTCAGGCCTCAGGTTCATCTTCTGTAGAAGGGAAGTAATAAAAATAATTCCTATCTCATTGCATTAGGAGGATTAATAAAGAAAGTGCACATCAGCTACACGAACTAAAGCTGGCATGGAGTAGCAGCTCAGTAAGTATTACTGTCAGTAGCTATTGATGTCAGTTATTCAATTAATACTTCATTTTCTACTGTTTTACACCAAAGGAGTCAGGGATGCCTTGCTGACGTGATTACAGGAAGGGGCCTCTCAGTGATACCTGAAGCAATGTGTCAAATACTCATTTTTATGTCCCAGGCATTGGTTAAGGGCTTCACCACATCTCTGACATCAGGAACCGTTAGCCCAATAGTTAAGCAGCAGCATATTGTGGAGGGCCGGGGTATAGCTCAGCGGCACAGCGCCTGGCTGGAGAGTGTGAGGTCCTGAGTTTGATTTCCAGTACCGAAAAAAATACACACATATTGTGGAAATTGTATCAAGTTATGACAGTAATTTGAGGTGAAGGCTAAGTGCAAGTGTATGGGTTTTAAAGTTCTTCTTTGTGTTGTATTTTGGCCTGCATTTGTGAAAACATTCTGGTATCTTCTGAGCAAAATCTGAAAATCTACCAGACAGATCAAGGAGCCAGCCTGAAACTCTTCCTTCTAGGGCCCCGTAGCTCGTTCAGATCCCTCTGGCAGACCCAAATGACACCGGAACACAGGCCTGCTGCTGGCTGTCACCATCCTCATTGTGTAGGTGGTTGAGAGGAAGGCAGCTTTGATTCCCAGCTCTGTTCTACCGGAGCAGGACAAGTTGCTTAATCCTTCTGAGCATCAGTTCCCTTATTTTTTTTTTTCTGAACCGGGAATTGAACTCAGGACCCTGTGCTTGCCAGGCAGGCGCTGTGCCGCTGAGCTGTATTCCTGACCCCCACCCGCTATTTGTGAAATAAGGGTAAGAGTCCTTGTCCTGCTGAACACTCTTGAGAATTAAATAAAATAACATGTGTCAAGAGCACAGCACGGGGTCTGAGCTTGGCACAACCAGCGGCCACTGTTATTTTCCTTGTTTAGGACATGAATATTGCTTTCTAATTTTCTCCGCCAAATGATTGACTTTTTATGTTTTTATTTTATTTGCTTTCTTCTAAGTTTCTTTTGAAAAATTCTGACCTGGTCTTGATTGAACTTCAGGAAAATGAGCGTGTTCATCCCTAGAACAGTGGATGAGGGCTGTCCTTCGAGTCCAGACACCACAGCAGCAACTGGGAATCTGGGGAGACTGAGGCACGTGGTGAGGAGAAGTTGAGAAGTGGGTTAGCTGGGATGGCAGGCGGTGGTGCTGACTTTATTCTCTTTTCACTTGGGAGTATTAGCTTATGGCCTTGCCTCCCAGCAAAGGGTAAGCCCTAGGTCTCCTGTAAAATAGAAATTGTCAGTCTGCCAACTTCCTAAGGCATTAAGAGGATTAATGAGAGAATACATGTAAGCACCAGAGCCTGGCAAACAGTGCGAGGTGAACACAAGCCCTGCGGCAGTTACTTTACAGCACCGCGACGCGGCACTCGGCTGGGCGCACGGTGAGCACCCCGACGCTGGTTCCCTGTGGTCCCCGAGTTCAGCCCTGCTGTGGTGATTCAATCCACAAGCACCGTGCAGAGCAGCTGACGCTGTCTGTTTGGGGCCTCGGGGTTGTTTCTGGTCCTTAGATGCAGTGGGAAGGGGCCAGTGCAGCTGCGATTACGAGGAGAGCAGCAGCTAGGAGGCTGCCGGAGGGCGGGGAGCCCGGCCGCCTGCGGAGAGGCTGTGGCGGAGGCTCTGGCCGAGGCCCCCTGTGCAAACTGACTTCCTCTCTGCGTTCTCTTTCTAATGGAGAATGACTTTCTCAGTCACGGACCCTCATCACGAGCTGTTTAGCTCAGACTCTAACTCGGAAGTGGGATTTGAAACTTTTGGAAGCTCTCCTACTCATCAAGGACCCGAAAAAATTAAAATGTCCCCCGTGTTTCCCCAGTTCCCGCCTCCCCTCTCCTTTGTCCCATGTATCCACAGAAAACTGAGTAAGAGTTAAGGTCTTACCTTCACTTCTTCATTCAACTTTTTCTACACTTCCAGGAAGTGTAGTTGTCTCCGTCTCTGCAGGTGCTTGGTTCCAGGCCGCTCTTCCACCCACCCAAACACACACAGGGATATCAAAGCCCAGGGAACCCCGAGACTCGGATCCCTTCATTGGGCCCGAAGAGTATTCCCATATAACATGTGCACGTCCTCCTGTATGCTTTAGATTATCTCTAGACTACTTACAGTACTTAACACAGCATAAATGCTATGTAAATACTTGTTCTTTGGTACTGTTTAGAGAATAATGACAAGAAAAATCTGCATATGTCCAGTACAGATGCAACAGTTAAAACATATTTTCCATCTGTGGGTGGTTGAATCTGAGGATACTGAACCCATGGCGACAAGGGGCCAATTCCAGTTCTCACGCATCTGAGTTTTACAGATAGGGGAGCAGAGTCCCAGGGAGGCTGAGCCCTTTTCTGAAGATCACAGAGCTACAAAGCAGTCTGACATCTGCGCCCTTATTCTATACCCACTTTGCCCTGGGGGAGGACGGCAGGTCTCGTGGAGCTGTGTGCCAGATGAGGCCAGAGGACAAGGTGAGAAGGAAGGACGCTGCACCCAAGGCTATGCCTCAGGCCAGGCTTGGCTGGTGAAACCAACTTTTAGAACCCCAGAGGCTTCAGCTCCCTTTGATCTGGCGGCGGCCTCTACCTTCCTTGACCTCTGAAATGCTCTTACCAGCCTGACCCGCTTGGCCTTTGACCCTTGCCTGCTGCCAGGGAGCCTGCAGGGCCCGCGCTGCCCTCTCCCTTCTGGGGTCTCCGCACCTGCTGTCTCCAAGCCGGCGGCTGCCTTTGGCTTCTGCCCCAGAAGCTGCGGATGAGCCAGCGCGGGCTCTCCGGGGAGGCCAGAGCCCGGGGGTTAGTGAGACAAGGACCAGCTGGGCTGCTGAAGGACGATTCCAGCCTCCTGTGAAGGTGGACGGGGCCTCGGCTCAGACTCCTTCCTCGCCAGCTCCCTTCCCACCCCTCACTTGCTCCTTCTCCTTCCTGGGTCTGAGGTTCTCGATGTATTCCAGGCTCCCCTCCCGTGCCCTTCACGCTCTACCCCCGTTCAGCCCCGCTCAGCAGCCCGGCTGACCGCTCTTCTCCCCAGCCTGTCTGCCCTGGGAGCTACCCTTGAGGCTGGGTAGTAGCTGTAGATACAGGAGGCCGACGCTCCCCAGGGCTCCCCAGGGCTTGGGAAAATGCCCTCCACTTGAACCTGACCCCTGGATGGAGAGGAGTGTCGAGGCCTGCGCTGGAGCGGGGTCTGCTCACTGGCAGGCAGCCTGCCCGTGCCTTGGGGTGAGTGACGGGACAGGACCAGGGGATTAGGGACTCTCCCAGCACAGGGGGAAAGACCAGGCCCCAGGGGCGGGCAGGGGCCACAGTCAGCCTTGAGGTCCGTGCCGGTGCCAGAGCCCTGTCCCTCAGCCCTGGTCTGCTCCTGCGTCTGTCCCCTCTTCATGCAACGGTAAGACACGCGGTGTCCTGGGAACCCGGCCCCGCCGCCCTCTCTCTGAGGAGTCTGGTAAGCTGCCCAGACTCAGAGGGAGGGCCCGGGGTGGTGACTGGAGGGCCACAGACTTCCCATCTGAGAAGGGCAAGCAGGGCTGCGGCAGTGGTTTCCACCCCGTGTTTCTGCCAAGATGCCTCAGAGGTGAGGGAGTGTGCAGGGCAGGGTGGAGATCCCGCGTGGGTCTCTTTACAGCCACAGCAGCTCCCCAACTTCCTGTTTACACCCTGATCTGGGAAGTCCGGTCCCTGGACTGTCTTCACCCCACACCATCCTGCTCGCCTCACCTCAGCAGAGCTGCCTCCCGCAGGCCTTTCTCCCCGGGGCATTTTCCTCTTAATGTCACCACCCGGCTCCTTCTCCTCCGCATCGCAGTTCTTATTCCCCGTGCCCTTTCAGATCTCAGTGGAAAAGCCTCCCGCGGCTGCCTCCCGCCCCTGCACCTCCGCACTAGGCCCCTTGCTGCGTGGTCTCTCCGAGTCCCTCGGTGGCAGCGCCCCACTGAGCTACTTCTCTGCTTACTTGCTCACTGCCTGTCTCCCCACCGACTGCAAGCTCGCGGGGGCAGAGGGCAGGCCCGCACTACGTGCTGGTGCACCTTCTGCCATAGCACCTGGCCCGCAGCGGACATTCGCTGAATGCTGAAACCCTGCGTGGCGGGACACCATGACCCCCAGGTTCTCCCAGCCCTCTTCGGTTCTACACTCACATCCTTAAAACTTCAAAGCGGTTGTGTCACCACAAAACTATTTCTGCCCTTCCCCACTGAAGCCTTGCCTGGCCTTTTCTGAACTTCCAGGTTGCTTTGAAGGGAGTGGTGTGGACCATAAAGAAAAACAAAGTAAAAGACTCCCAGGAAAGGCCGCTGGGGGCGGGCAGGGAAGCCTCGTGCCGGAGGAGGAGGGCAAGGCCCCCTCTGCCCACCTCCTCCACGTCTCAGGAGCTTTGCTGCTCTCAGACACACCTGTCTTGTGTCCATCGAGCTGCCCGGCAAAGGAGGGGTGGGCAGTTGCTCAGGCCTCAGTGACCGCAGCTTTCTGGCCAGCTGTTTCCTTGCTTTCAGACCGGTGGCTGACCCTGTGTTGTCCCCAGCCTGTTCCAAGCAGCCTGGAAGACGTCCAAGCGTGTCTTTTACAGGCCAGATGTGTATCCACTGGCTGTAAATTCTTGCACGGAGAGCAGGTGGGCGCTAATTATTCTAGCAGGAGCCGAGCTGACTGGAAGCTAAGGAGACAATTCTATCAAGCTGTCAGGAACAAAAACAGTGTTCTTCTTCTCTGAGATTGCTTTTATAGGAGGAGAGAGAGAGGCAATTCAGGGCCAAAGCTCTGGCTCTGGCCCCTGTGGCAGATTCTGGAGTGTCCTGGAAATTCCCATCCCCACCCCACTCATCCCCGTCCTCTCCAAATGGACATCCCATGTGCGGTGAACATCTGCTGTGCACATATGCCCAGCACTCCTGCCTCTCCTCCGGGGAACAGACACTCAGCGTCCCTCTAAGCTCCGCCTCCCCAGTTCCACACATTCCTAGCGGGGCTGCTGGCCACAGGTCCGTCCTGCTCTCCACTCTCAGAGGGGGGGCACTGGACCCACAGGGTCCGTCAGACTCTCGCCCTGGAGTCAGAATTGGGGTTGGAGTAGCCACCAGCAATCGAAAGCTTGGAGTCATCCAGAGCCACATGGCATACGAGCTCCTGCCCCCCAGGTCCCCAGAGCTGCCCTGGCTCCCGCCTTCCCAGGCCTGGTTGCTGAGCGCCTCCCGCAGCTCCCTGCCTCTTTCCAGTCTGCCCACTGCTGGCCAGAGTCAGCTTCTTGCAGCCAAAGTAGATTTACCTCCTTCCCAGCCCTTTCTCTTCTCACGCTTACCTGCAAATCCATTTGCGCTTTCCACATCTTGAAAACCTGTGTGCTTTCTCCTCTTCTCCTGTCAAGATCTTGCTCTTAGGAAGGGTCTTCGGCATGGTTTCCACACTGCCTTTGCCAGGTTCTGAGACACAAGTCTGCTTAGTGGTCGATGTTCACAGTCTTCCTGCCTTTCTTTTGTGCTGGGCACCAAATTTTTAAGCACGTGCTGTTCCACCAGGGTACACCCTAGCGTTTGCTCACAGTCTTGTTGAGCAGACAGATGCTGTCCTGCGAGAGCCGAGTGTTGTAAGGGAGCTGAGGCAGTCGCCGTCGGGCTGCAGAGAAGGGGGAGCTACGAGCCACAGCCAACCTGTCCCTCTTGGTTTTTATTTAAATTAGCATCCTTTGATTGCATGTAATAAGGAGTAGCTATTCTGTACATTAAAAAAAGTAGAGCTACTGGAAATATTTTAGGAATAAGCAGAATAGAAATAGGAACAGAACGCGTAAGTATCAAGAAGGTCAGGACTCTGGGAAGCAACCCCGGGAACTCCTGGGCCCAGCCCAAGGCATCCTTGGACCAGCCCCAGGCACTCCTTGGACCGCGTCTCTTTTGGGAGCTGCAGTTGGATGGTTCAGTTACAACTGTGTATCTGCATCCGGGACAAATCACGGGGGAGACTCTGATTGGTACGGCACGGGTCATGTGCTTTCTGGTAAGTTTTATAGTTGGTCATCTGTCAAATAATCTAGAAAATGGAAGGACAGTGCCCTAAAGGAAAAGGATGCTGCTTCAGGAGTAAGAGGGGAGGGATGCTGAGCAGACAGAAAGAGTCCACTCGTAGTCACCAGCTTGGGGGTGACAAGCCTGCCTGCTGAGAACACCGCGGCCTTGGGCAATCCCTGATCAAGAGCTGCACGCAGTGAAAACCACCAAGTGCAGACTGGGCTCAGTCCCCATTAGTCCCGGGCGATGAGCGGAGGTCCCAAGGAGGGAGGCAGTGCTGGCCTAGCTTCTGTCCCTGGTCCCAGCCTGGGTCTAACCAGCCCAGAGGCTTCCTAGGCAGCGCTGGACAGAAGGTCAGGTTGGATCTGCAGGCTCTGCTTCGGGTAGGAATTTCCATGCAAGAATGGGGTGGGGCGAAGGTCCATACGGAAGCCATTGGGAGGGGTCACCCCTCATGCGAAAGGTTAATGGGGGTGCTCCGTAAATATTTATCCAGCTGACCCCACCCTGTTGCTGGGAGGCACAGTCTTGGTTGCCCTACAATTGCAGCACCAAGCATAAAGGGCCAAGAAGAAATGCCACACTCAAGGCCCTGGACCCCGCGCAGGAAGAGGAAACAACTCTTGGGCGACCTGTCCCTGCCCACGGACACAGCCCCAGAGCTCCGGCTGAGCTGGGGTCCGCCCCCGGGCCTGCGAGGTTTTCTCACTTGTGTGTAGGGCTTCCGGTGTGCCTTTCCCCGGGGTCTCACGACAGTCCCTGCAGAAGCTGCCAAGCTCAAGTCTCCTTTCCGCCCCTGGCCCTGCTCTCCTCGGCCTGGCCAGACCCTTGTACCCCAGACAAGCCCTGTCCCTCTCCGTGTTTACAGTCTGCAAGCACTTGTGGCCGTTTCTGCCGCCCTGGCGGCTCTGGAAGGGCTCATTCTTCTGCCGGCCCTTATTAAGCGCAGCCTTCGCCTCTGCTCAGCTTCTCTCTCCGCGGCCTGTGGCTGCAGCCGACAGCCCCCTGGGGCCTCTTCCCACCCGAGGCTGGCACGGTGCTGCTGCAGCCCCTGGACACTTTCTCCTCCTGTGCCACATCCCTTGGCGTCTTTCTAATCCCCTCCCCCGGGGGCATCTATTTCAGCCTCATCTGGTTGTTCCTCACTGCCCAGTCCCCCTGGAGTTCCAGCCTCCAGCTTGAGAACGCAGGGTGTGGGGAGGGGACAGACCCCCTCTCCCACCCCGCTCGGCTCTCTCCTGTCCAGCTGGCACGGGGCGGACCTTTCCTTTGCTGCCTTCACACGCTGGGCCGTTTCCATCCGCTTCCAGCTCATTAGCGCAGGTACGACAGGGGCCAACCCTGCCGACTCCGCCCGACACTGAGCCCTCAGCTTTGCTCTGGCAGCCCCTCCCTGCCGCCTGGCCCTGTGCTTCCCGCCAGCCTAGGACACTGGGCACGCAGCGAACGCCTGTGCCGCCTGTGCGGGGCGGCCTTCGCGTCTCGTCAAACCTTCTCAGCCCCACGGAGCCAGGCAGACTGTGTGGGGAACTGAAGCGGTCATGAACGCCTAGGGCTACACGGGGCCTCCTCAACCGCCTAGCCTTCTGGGAAAACATTAAAAGCACCCTAAGCTGATGAGAATTTAACCAGTTTTTAAACGATAGCTGTTTTCCCTTTACCTCTAACAAGAGGAAATGTCACAGGAGCCTGTTTAAATGCTTTTTTGTATCTTTTTTGAGGGGAGGGTACTGGGAATCGAACTCAGGACCTCGAGCTTGCCAGGCAGGCGCTGTGCGGCTGAGCTATCCCCCTGGCCCTTAAATGCTGTTCTGTATGCGCAAACTTTCCTGCTGCCCTTGCTCCCAGCACACTCCCTGCCAAGCCTGCGCTGAGCTGAAATCTCCGCTGCAGCTTTATTTGCCTCCACTTCACAGCATCCTCAGCAAGCAGGAAGAGTACACTCACCACCTTCTGCCCTGGAGAGACAGAGACCAGGAGGACACCTTGGTGGACACGGAGGACTGGTGGAAGTGAACCTCTGTCTCCTTTTCCTCCAGGATGAGGACTTCAGGACCTTCCCTTCTCAAAACAAAAACCAAAACACAAACAAACACCCGCCCCCCTAAAAAAACCAACAAAAACAAAACCAAGAATCCCTCCCTTCTTCTGGGCCACATAGACTGACCATCCCCACTGCTTTTCCCTGAGTCACCCCAGCCCCCGCCGCCGCAAGTGCCTAGGTGACGTGGAGGGACCTTTGTGGGTTGTGAGATCGCTGGAGTGAGCCACAGACAGCGTGAAAAAGCAACATGGAAGACAGGTGGCAGAAACACGAGAGCGCGTGACGCGAAGCAAGGGGAGGCAGGTGTAGTTATGTGTCCGTGGGTGCGGCGTCCTGTTGCAAGGTGTTGTAAGGTGCTTCCTACCGTGAGTTGCGGATCAGAAGTTTGAAAACATGGCTCCCAGCTGGTACAGGCGCTGGTGCCATGTGGTGTGGACACAGGGACCCTAGGCTTCCTTCAGTTTGGGGGCAAGTGGAAGGCAAGACCAGTGTCTTGGTTACGGTCCTCATTGCAGAGACAAAACACCTGACACCAAAAATTAAAGAACATGTTTATTTGATTCAGTTTGTAGCAGTTTCAGGCCGTACTTGGTCGGCTCCAAGGCAGACTGGCGTGGCAGAGCGGCATCGCAGAGGAGAAATGGTTCATGACAGGCAGAAGGCAGAAGGCAGCAAGCAGCAAGCAAAGCAGCAGCCCTCTTTTGTCCCTTATATTTTATCCAGGTCACACACCCTCGGGGAGGGCTGCACTCACACCCAGAGAGGGTCTTCCCATTATCCACTCCCAGAACTATGCCAAACCAGTGGACTAATTTAGTAATCACACACGGCTGGGGGACATCTAGACACAGCCATAAGGGTGTGTGGCTGAAATAGATGCCCCTGGGGGAGGGGATTAGTAAGACGCCAAGGGACTGTGGCACAGGAGGAGAAAGTGTCAGCATCACACACTCTAGACCCAGTCACCTATGAAGAGCCCCACCTCTGACCCCTGAGGCTCTAGGGGACATCTAGACACAGCTATAACAAGGGAGAAGGTGAAACCAGGAACTGTGAAACCAGAGCAGTGCTGGATGGCTATTGAGGGAATGAAGGAGGAGCTGCAGGTGCAGTACACTCTGAGGCTCCTTTTTATGGTAGGGGGTGGGGACCGAACCCAGGGCTTCACGCATGCTAGGCAAGTCCGCATCCTAGAGCTACACCCCCAGCCCCGGAGGTTATGTTGTAGCAGTCAACCTGTGTGACTGATGCAAACACAGAACAAGCTGAATCTCATTCTTGCCCAATAGTCCTGCAGACACTTAAGGACGGTCAGACCTCCTCCTCCAAGATTTCTCTTTTCCAGCCTTTCAGCTACTCCTAGGATGTATTAATCTTCACTCAGGGTCACTTCCCCTAGAAGTGCTTCCGGGCTGGAATACGCCATTTAAAACTTGGCAGCCGAATTAAGTGCAGAACTTTCACTGTGTCTCAAGATCCCCGTTAACATACACTTAATATCCCTGCTCTTAGACCCAAGTTCTGCTCAAGATGGTACAAGGCCTTCTGGGACATGAAAAGGGATAAAATATAAGGGACAAAAAGAGGGCTGCTGCTTTGCTTGTTGCTTGCTGCTTGCTGCCTTCTGCCTGTCATGAACCATTTCTCCTCTGAGATGCCGCTCTACCACACCAGTCTGCCTTGGAGCCAACCAAGTACGGCCTGAAACTGCTGCAAACTGAATCAAATAAACATTCTTAGTCCATTTTTAACCAGTGGCTAACTGGTTTTCTCCTTTACAGCAGTCTGTACTTTGTTTTCTTGTCTCCACAATTCAGGTCGTTCACATGAACTGCTATTAAAGCAAGTATTGAATCTCAACTTATCTCGGTCGGTGTATATTTTGCTTCTATCTTCCAGTTTTATCATTTATTTCTCCAGTTCTGTATCACGTGAAAATCTGATAAGAATGATCCATCTCATTCCTAATTGCGGGAAGTCTTAGGTAGGTCACAGCCCTGTCTCATATATGAGTATAGCTCTCAGGGAGCTCCATGCACCCGTCACTGTGGCAATGGCTGTTTCCACCAGCTACACATAGGCCCAACTGCATTACCATGGGCTGCAGACTTCCCAGCCTTGAATTTTACTTCAGTATCATTAAAATACAGCAAAAATTTTCTAGTCAGCAGCCTCACTGGAAAAGGGTAGGGACTGATGTGGGTTAGTTTCTGTGAGGCTGAGTCTGGTAGTCACCGCTCTGCTTCTTCCTCGCCATCCTTTCCACCTTCTCCTGGATGAGACTCCTGGCGCAGCTTGGAGATCACCTATTCTGAGTCTCCCCACTCCCAGCCAGGACTGGATGCTGTGTCTTGCATTAACATTGCACCCTACGCTATCTCAGCCCCAGCAGGCACTGTAAGTGTTGTTGCCTGTCTTCCGTACCGGAAGCTCCGCGAGGACAGGGAGCGTCCTCTGCCACCTTCTTGGCATCCCTGGAGCCTGCCAGAGGGCACTCAGTAAGGGCTGGCTGCAATGCACTGGGCCCTGCCCGCTGTCTGCTTGATACTGAGCGCACGGGGCTTCCCTACCCTTGGAGCAGAGTTGGGAGGGCAGCTGCAGGTCGGGGCCTTGCAGAGGTGTACTGTGACACCCGGGTGTGATGCCCCCTCAACAGCCTGAGCTCGTGGGATCGCTGCAGGACCTGAGGCCAAGCGAGAGTGACACCGGGGGATGGGAGGCTGTTGAGTCCCCAGGGGAACCCAGGGTGCAAAGGGAGTGAGGGATCCAGACAGGGTTTAGAAAGGGGTGGTACACAGGGAAAGAGGCCGGAAGGAAGGGGTCAGTGGGTCACAGCCCAGGAGCCTGGGGCAGGGCTGACCTGCTACACTGGCAGCTCTACGGTGTCTATAGAAGGGAAGGCATGTGGGCAACAGGCTGGTTAGAATCAGGGTTAGGCACTGTTTCAGGCAGGCCAAGCCCATTTGCTTTGCGCCCCGTTTACTTGGGACGGCTCTGGGTGGATGGACAGAGACGGGGCACACGCTGCTCCTTCCTCAGGGAAGTGACTGCTTGCTGTCAACCAAAAGACATGGTGTAAGAATTCCAGATGGGCAATCTGTCCGCTCCAGGGCCAGCTGCTGCCTTAGGTAGTCCCTCTTCCTCAGAGGAGCTCACCAGAGTTAAACCCTCCCTAAATTGACCCCAGCCTACCCCTTTGGACTCCCTCGTCCACAGACCTTTCCTAGCTCAGCTCCAGCCTCGTGAGCTCCCTGCAATCGTGGCAATAGCTCAGGCTTTGCTTACGTTCTGCCTCCTGCTTGGCATGACCCCTTCCGTGTGGTGGGCTCCTCCTTAGCCTTCAAGATGCAGGACTCTGAGAAACGTGCCCAAGTAGCCCCCAGCCTGCATGGTCAGCAGCTTTATGGTGAGCCTGGGAGACTGGGTGAGTTCCCTGAAGCTCGCACCGCCCACGAGGGTTCCTTTTACCCCCAGTGTCTCGCGCAGGTGCCTGGCACACACCAGGCATCCAAAAAACGTTAGTGGGATGGGAGGGCACCATGACCCCAGCCAGCTACGCTGAGCTTTAGGAGCGGGTGCTCAGACACACCTCAGGCAGTGCAAGCGCCCTCGGGGAACCGCACACCCTGGGGGCTGGGGCTGCAGGTGGCGGGTTCCAGCCAGGAGGCAGGGTGGGACAGTGCGTGGGTGCTCCGGGGAGCAGCGACCCAACCGGAAGCGGGGACTGTTTCCCCCCAGTCATCGTGGGCCCTCCCTGCTGCTTCTCGCCAGCTGGAAGAGGGACACGCTGACAGCTTTTCTCCACCGTCTCCTGACCTCCTCCCTGCCCCCAGGCGCCTCGGCACTCGTACCTCCCACCGGAGATGGGCACAGCGCTCCTGTCTTCTCCGGCCCGGACAGCTGAACAGCTCCCAGCTTCCTGCAGGAGTCGACAGGGCTGAAGGGCCTGGGAGCCAGGAGACCCTGCTTCAGGGGCCTGCTGCTGCCAATAGCGGGTCACGTGACCTCGGACAGGCATCTCTTGGCCTCAGTCTCCACAGCCACCCCTTGTCGATGTGCTCCTCCAGTTAAATCTTGCTGTTGGCAGAGAATGCAAATTCATCCAGTAAGAGCCGTTCATTGTACGGTTGAGAAATGGAGGCCCGGGGAGGGGAAGGTGCCTGACCAGGGAGACATGCAGGGGGTGGATGCAGGCCTAGAACCAATGTGTCTGCTCCCTGCCACGAGGTGACCCTGACTTTCACTGCTTTGAGTGGAAGAGCAGTTGCTCCAGAGCTGCGCCCGCGGCCCCACAGGCGGACACAGCGCAGGGTGCTCCTCGGACTCTTCCGCAGGCGCTCAGTTAGGGTCACCCGCCTCTTGAGCCAGCCAAGGGCCAACCAGTCCAGACCAGCCCTGAATGACACCCAGGTGCTGAGCCCTGAGCTCTCCCCATCTCCATGTTACTGACTGCCTCTTGCAGCCTGGGCAAGTCTCTTCGCTTTTCTGGCTTTACGGCTATGTGAACCCCACAGGACTGCGGGCTCAAGGAAGGAGACTCACCTGTTCCGTTTTAATTCCAGTTGTGTTTCGTAGCTCAATTTTCAGAGAGGATCTGAATCATCCAGCAAGCAGCGATGTCTGTGTGTGAGTCAGACCGCAGGAGTCTCACGTCACCGGCCAGTGAGAGGGCTGCCCATCTGCTTTCTCTGTGCTCTGAGGGTAGAAATGCATCTTCTTGATCTCTGTTTGCCTGATAAGGAAACTGGCTCAAAGAGTCAGGCGCAGGCCACCAAGCTGGTAAACGGTTGTGCTGAGGTTAGAATTACAAAGTCCTGTGTTCTTCCTCTCAGCTGTGGCCTGGGCAGGGCAGGAGAAGCACACAGAGCTACAGGGGCTCCGTAGAGGCAGGGAATTTCCAGATGGAGAGAGAAACCTAGCAAGCCTCTTTGGAGGGGGCGGCCTTTAAGAAGGGACTCAAGCACGAGCAAGGCTGGTGAAGAACGGCGCAGATGAAGGGAATGGCGTGAGCCGAGGTATACGAGGGAGGGGATGGGGACGAGGAAGCCGGAAGCAAATGGGATACGCTGAGTTTCAACGTTCATGGAGGGAGGGGCACAAGACAAGCTTGTATGCCTGGCCCAAAAGGAAACTTGGGCTGCTTTAGAGAAGTAGTGGGGAGCCATTGAAGGTTATGGAGCAGGGGAGGGACCTGATCAGAACTGTGCTGCTAGAAAATGTATGAAGAGCTAATGAGTTAACGACGAGTCTGTTTCTCCTGGCAGGTGCAGGCTGTTTCACCTTCACTGTTGTCCTCAGGCAGAGGTAGGGAGGAATGGGGTGCAGCTGAGGAGATACTGGTTGGCACCACCACCTTCAGGCAAGGGCCGGAGAGGGAGTGAGGGCAGTGAGCAGTGCCCAGGGCTCTGTGGCTGGGTGAGGGGCTGGGGAGGAGGGGAGGAGCTAAAGCCGCCCCTCCCGCCTGCCTTGGCCACCAGCCTCTGCTGGCCGGAGCTCTGCTCCGTGAGGCAGCGCACAGAGCAGCCTCTGCCGTCTGTGTGAGTTCCTGAGGGGTGAGATCTTTAATTTTTGTCTGCTGAGCCCCGATGGGCGAGGGGCCAGCCTGTGTTACAGCCTCCCCGAGGCCCCTGGGCCAAGGCACTCAGACCAGAGTGGACGGAAATGGGGAATGAGTCATGCAGACCCACGGGCCTCGGGGTCTGGCTGCACCTCCCCTGCCCTCTGTGTGTCTGTGGCCTTTTCTAGGGATGTTCCGGGTCCTGTGCCCGAGGACTTGGGGTCCTAGAGAGCACGCTAGGCACCAGAGCAGACCTCGCTGTCCCCGCTCTGGGTGTGCGACCCAGGGGAAACAGACCAGGCTGCTGAGGGCAGAGGGCACCCTCTTCTGTGAGGTGAGGCTGGGGGTTCTGCTTGAGGCCCCCCCAAGCCCAGTTTACTCTAGGAAACACCCCACAGCACCCCGTCTTCTCTGCCCTCACAATCCTCAGCCCTCAAGGTGTGAGAAATGTCAGTGTGTCCCAGCAGGAAGCCAAGGTGGGCACCGGTGGGAGACCCCATGAAAACGGTCTTCTGTCCTCAAATTCCTGTCCCGCACAGCCACCCCAGAGTCCTGCGGGCCCAAGGCCACAGGGCCTTCTTCCTGGGAACTTGCAAAGGATCATCCAGTATATGATCGCGCCCTCACCCTAGGCTGGCACAGGAAGTCCCTGTGGCCCTTCAGGAGGGACACACAGGAGGAGTCCCAGCTGCTTCCATGGTGCTGCTCAGGCCTTTAGAGCCCCCGCTCCCAAAGCTTCCATCCCCAGGGGCTGGAGCTTTCCCTCCAGCCGGGGACTGGAGGCATTTGTGCAGGTAAGTGGGAACTGGTGCCTCAGCTTAGGGCTACACGCACGAGCTTTCAGACCAGCTGCCCTTGCCCGGACACCCAGAGACACAGAACGCAATCAGTGATTTTGAAGCCTGGCCCGTTTCACGTCATTGCAGACCGTCCCGGCGTGCAGGCAGCGTGCTGCAGCAGAGAAAGCACAGGCCTTGGCTGTTTAGATGAATCCTGGCTTGACTCCTAGCCGTGTGACCTTGAACTTGAGAACTCACCCTCTGGGTTTGTGGAATGCGAAGTGCCACGCCTGCCACACGGGCATTCACTCGAGCCCCTTCTCAGCCCCAAAGAGAGAAGCTGAGGTCAAGATGCTTTTCCTTCGGCAACAGGGAGCCATCTGATGCAGGGGAATCCGGCTTCCTCCTTCCTCCTTGGTGGCTGGAAATCAGATTCACAGAAACTCACCATGCTGGCTTTTGTCCGCTCCCTGCAAGGCGGGTCTCAGCTGGGAGATAGGGCAGGGTGTGCTGGATGGGGCTGCCCTGAGACAGCAGTGCTGTGGGGCCATCGGCAGTCCTGCCACCCTGAAAGTGCTAAGTGCCTCTGGCTCCCAGCTGGAGTGACCTCCCTCCCCCAGAAGCTGGCCCTGGTTTAGTGTTTAGTGCCACTAGACAGCCTAGAGGCTGAGTCACCTGTCACCAGTCACGAGCTTTGTCACTTCTCCTCCCTGAGCTCTCATCTGCTCATCTGTTACACGGCGAGATAATACCGCTTCCTCCACGAGATCACCGTGAGGGTTACATGCGGAAGTGACTGAGAACGCAGCACAGCGCCTGGCACCTTGAGGTGCTGGTGAATGGAGGGGCGCTGATCTATCCGCTCGGGACACGGTTCCTCTAGCCGGCTGTCTCACTGGCCCCGAAGGAGAGAGCAGCAAGGAAGAGCACCGTTAGCTCCATTTTCAGATGAGAAGAGCTCAGCACTGAGCCCCATTCAGAAGACACGCGCTGAACACAGAGGGGTAGGAGGCCCCTTCCCGAAACCCGCAGTGAGGGGCCAGCTCGCACAACTGCGCAGGGGCTCCCGCGCTGCGGCTGCCATGCCTGGCCAGCACGTCACGCCCACCTGCCACGCTCGCCTGGAGGACATGCGCACGGGCAGGCGGGCAGGGTGGTCGTGAGCTCCGAGGGGTGCCAGCCTGGTGTGTGAGGTGCAGCTGTCCTGGCGGGCTCTGCGAACCTTGAAGGCTCGCACAGGAGGGGCTGGGCCTCCCAGTCTAGAGGCTGAGGCCGCAGTGTAGGAGCTCCAGCTGCCCAGAGCCCAGGAGCCTCTCCCATCAGGAAGGCCGGGGCCCAGTCGCCCTTCCTTGACCGGTGGACCCCTGACTAACCGGGGAATGTGCTATTTGTTTTGAGCAGGGGAACAGGCTCTCCTGGGGAGAGGAATTCAGAGCTGGAGATCCAGTCACTTTCAAGGCAGAAAAATCCTTGGAATTCTGTTGGGAATTTGGGTCTCAGCAAAGGGAACAGAAATGCAGTCCTTGCTTTTGGCCCGTATGTACCAAATTAGTTCAGGTTCTGGGGGCTCTTTGGCTGCCAGCCCCACTCGAGCATAACATGGGAAAGCAATTAGGTGGCTCTGTGTGTGGAGCAGACTGCCGCTCCCCTCGTGGCACAGGTTGGGGGAATCTTCCCCGCTAGATCCCTGTTACTGACCCTCTGGGGTTCTCTGCAGGGGTTTCCAGATTCCCCAAGAGACGGGTGAGTGGGCTTAGCAGAATTCTCCTGCCCATTAGGGGCAGGGAAGTGACACATGGTGCACCAGGGGCCATGCTGGAAATAGCTCCCCTTCTCTTGCCGGACAGAGAGGGTTGAGCGGGGCAGGAAGTTCTGACTGCCCCACATCTTGGCAGGGAGGAAGGCATTTTGGAACACACACCAGCGGTCCTGCGGCGGGGTTAGCAGCGGGGCGTTGAGAAGGTCCCACTTCAAGTGTGAGAAGCGTCCAGGGCTGAGGCGGGATGGTGTGGACTTGAAGTCTTGGGCTTGGGATTCAGACTCAGATCCTGCATCTGCTCGGTATCAGTTACCTGTGTGATCTCAGGTGACCAGTACCCACCCCGGCTTCTTTGTATACATGGAAATCACAATGCCACCTTTGGTTGCTTAAATGATCCAATTTATGGAGCACACAGTGCTGGGACCAACTATTTAAACCCCATAAATTCTGGCAGCTTCAAAAAAAAACTCAAGCGTTAATGGCAGAGGAGATTCTGCAGAGCTGCACCGTGAGGTCCCAAGAGTTACAGAGAAAGGAGGCCCGGGCAGTACACGGGAGGCAGGACAGCAGAGGGCGCTGGGGCGGGCGCGCCAGACCCAGGCTTTGGAGATTATCAGGGCAGGGGCCCAGGAGAACAGGGCGAGAATGACCAAGGCCCACTTGTGCTCAGGGAGGCGCAGCAGGGGCGTCGGCTGGAGCGGGAAGTGCGTCTGTGTGGAGGTTTTGGCCAGGCCGGCGGTGAGACGCTGAATGGGCGGCAGACTTCCAGAAATGCAGACGGAGGAGATGGAGCGGTAATAATGACTTGGACACAGAGGAGGAAAAAATAGCTCAGGGACAAGGAAGATGCCAAAGTTTCTGCCCTGAGAGGCTCTTGGGGATCTGAGGTGAGCATGCGGGGATGAAGAGAAGGTCTCTGAAGGAACAGGGCAGGCGGCGGGGAGCAGAAGGCAGCCTGGAACTGCAGAGCTGGATGGGTACCAGCAAGTGGGGTCAGCATAGAGCCGAAGCTCCCGCAGCTGGGAAGAGAGGCAGCCGAGCATTCCGGGAATTGAAGTGGCATTTGTCCCAAAACAAGGAGTGGAACTCAAGGGGGTCATTACAGTCAGCCCTACAGATAGCAGGACAGGAACACGGACCAGTAGCTACCATGTGGGACTCAGTTTTTTCTCTTAAAATGGGTCTAATGATGCCAGTCCTCCCTACGTGAGATTATTCTATCATTCATTGGATTAGCTACCCATTGAATGTGTATTTCTCGGCTGTCTTTTTTTTTTTTGGACTTTTTGAGGCAGGGTCTCGCTGTGCAGTTCAGGCTAGCCTTGAGCTCACTTTGTAGCTCAGGCTGGTCTCAAACTTGTGACGATCCTCCTGTCTCAGCCTCCCAGGTGCTGGGATTACAGGCGTGCGCCACCACACCCAGCTCTCGGCTGTCTTTTAAGATCAAGCACTGTTCTAGATTCTGGAGCAGTGGCAATGAGCAAGATATACATTCATTTAAAGATATTATTGTGGCTTGCGAAGTCAGAGAGTAAATTTTATAAATGACTGCATGAGATTTTTTGCTGTAGTCTTAGCATCTCTGCAGAAACAGCAAAGACTAGAACAACGAGACCTAAGTATTCTCGCACTCTAAAGAGATGCACAGGATGCCTTCCTGAAAGCAGAGGAGCTTCAGCACTACCCATCCCTTGGTTCCGGATTACAGAGGAAAAGGAGGAAGGTGGCTGAGGCAGGGAAAGGTTACCTTAGTAGACAGGGCTGAGATTTCCCCCAGGGCACTCTTCATCACAAACCAAGTGAAGAGGGCCCCGAGGGGACCAACCTCCTTCACACAGAGGCGGCTGGCCTGACTTCTGCGCGGCTGGATCTTAAATGCCCCCAGTCTCTTGTGTGGAAGGTATGGTCCTAGCTGCTGGTGCTGTTAGAGGTGGTGGGTGCAATGTAATGGTTGGGGCCTCGTGGGAGGAGGCCACCGGGAGGGTATACCTTCGAAGGGGATGGTGGGACCCCAGCCTCTCTATTCTGTCCTTTGTGCTCTCTAGACGTCACGAAGCAAAAAGCTTTGCTCCACCACACGCTCCTTATCGTGAACCTTACCGCAGGCTCAAAGCAATGGGACCAAGGAACCGTGCACCGAACCTTCTGAAGCCATGAACCAGAACGAGTTTCTTCTCCTTTAAAATTGCTTACCTCAAGTATTTTGTCACAGTGGTGGAAGCTGACTGACATAACTCGCTCCAGCAGTCCCTCTGCAGATGCTAGGCGAGTTGCCCGTGGTCGCAGGTCCTCCACATAAAAAGCACAGCGAGAAAGTTCTTGGATGAACCAAACATACGTCTTCAGGAACTTAGTCTGTGCACAAAGGAAGACTTACACGCACTTTCTGTCTGGAGAACCGCGACTGTGGAACCGGCTGGCGTGGGCTGCTGGCCGTCCGAGGAGCAGCCCGCTCTTCCTTGCTTTGCCTGGCGTGGACTGGAACGCTCCCTGCGGGTAAGGTATGCACAGATCTTCAAGAGCTAGACCGCAGAGTGCTTTGGTACGGCAACGCCGAGAGGAAGCCCTACAAAAACCCACAAATGTGCCTGCGGAAGAAGCCATGCTTGGCACTTGCCAGCCAAGGACACCTGCTACGTAAGACTCTGCTCCAATACTTCTTGCCCAACCTTGACGCAGAGGAGACACGAAAGGAAAATCAGAAAAGCAGACCTTACCTCACTCTCTCCTGTAGGGTCTCCAGCCAGAAGACAGCCTGTGGGGGGAGAGGAGGAGTATTAAATTGGACGTGATATCGATTAAGCTGGATGAGGTTCTGCCTTAAAGGGCAGTCTGTTTAGTGCCTGAGGGTTGGTATTAATTACAGAAATGAAAGTGTTCTTATGTCCGGTAGAGGTGGGCAAGCCAAGGACTCTGCCTGAGAAGTCACTGTGGGAGGGAAAGGGAAATTTAATATAACACGGTTGAAGGCTTAAGTGGAAAAAATATGCTGCTCCTTGATTTTGAATCCCCCACTCAAATGACCAGTTTCACGAGGAAATAGTGAGATCGTTTAACCGGTCCCTAGAGCAATGAAGACAAAGCATGGCGACGTGAGAAAGGGGTAACTCGGGGTGGGACAGCGGACCCAGGCTGCGGCGGGACGCCGCCCGGGAGACGCGCTGGTCCCGCCCCGCAGCCCCCTCGCAGGTGCGCGCTCCGGGCGGAGGGAGTCGCCCGGTGACTGCGGCGCAGC